TTATTACTGCTGGCAGTCTAACAAAAGCCAGGTGGTAAGTAGAGAGAAAACAAGGGTTAACTCAATTGGTATTTCCAAGGAATTTCATACTAGCTTGAAAAAACTTCAAATTTACTCAATTTATTCAAGTTTACTCACAAATAGTATCTGCAAAGGCAGATCACGGTTAAGCAGTATTTTCACCCCTAACCATTGCATTTTAATGTGAGTTCACCAATCCTTAAATAAAAAAATGCATTGAGACATTATTATTAGTGTCTTTTAGAAAAAGTGATTAGATAATGCTATTTACCACACTATTAGGCTTTAGAAAACAGCTACTCAAAGACATTTCTACTTCCCAATTCTCACTACATATTCTGTTATACATACACACACATATATACACATGCAAATGCAAAATCTGAAAATCTCAGAAAGAATAAATACCACCAATCACAGAACCATAAAATTAAAATGTTACTTTTTCATTTTTGCTATGACAGAGTATTTTTGAGTTCAAATTCCAATTATGTGCTATCATGGAAGAAAAAAAGAGCAATACTACTGTTTCATCAAAATAAATTTGTGAGATAGTGTAACTTGCTAATAAAAAATAAATAGGTGAAAATACTCAGCACAACATACACAAATGTAAGACATAGATGTACAATGCCTACACAAGTGTGTCTGCATTTGTTTTCTGAATAAATCAAATGCAGTATTTTGATTGTCCTTTGTGAAGTTAACAATTTCCCAAGTTTAGAAGTGACAACTTCCACATTGAGTTATACTGAATTTGTTTCTCCAACTGCAAGTCTTTAGGAAATGATGCGCTGCAATAAAAGGACATAGAAAAGTTAAATCTTTCAAGAAGAAGCAGTTTCCTCTTTTCTGTGTCTTTTTTAATGTCATGGTTTGACACTGGCTAAAAGCCAGGTGCCCACAGAAAACTATACACTCACTCTCTTCTGCTACAATTGAGCAGAGGAAGGGAAAAGAAAACCTGAAGAGCTCATGGGCCGAGATAAAGATTAGGAGAAAACACTAAAGGGCAAAATAAGCTTAAATGGTACAAAGAAAATTTATTAACAGAATTAAAATAGTATAATGAGAACTAAAACCTTTAGAAAACATTTTTCTTCCCTCCATCCCCTCCTTCCTTCCCACCTTCAGCACAGAGACAAAACATGAGATTCTTTAGTCCTTTTGTTTTTTGTTTGCTTTTTTTTTTTTTTTTAATATCTTTCCTCAATTCACTTAGGGAAAGGAGTTTGGTTTCTGCTGTGCCATGGGGTCCTCCCCACGGGAGACAGTTCTCTGTGAACTTTTCTAGCTTGGCTTTAATTTTCACAAGTAGCAGTCCTGCCCAATCTGCTGCAATGTGGGTCCCTCCCACAGGCAAACCATTTTCTCACAACTGTTTTTCGTGGGTCATTAGTTCATGGGGTGTACTTTTGAGAATGAACTGCTCTCCTTTGGAAGCAAGGGTCCTTTATCCCCAGAAGCAACAGTTTTCACTCTCTGTTTGAGTTTCTCACTAGATTACAGCTTTTCAGCATCTTGCTCCAGCACGAGCATCTATTCTTACAGGCTCCAAGTGGACCTCTGCATCCCTCCATGTACTTCATGAGTTTCAGGGAAACTGTTGTATTATAGTCCTCACCACAGGTTGTAGACAAATCTCAGCTCCAAGGTCCAGAGAACTTCTTTCATCAACCTTAGTGCTGTTCTCCTCACATGCCCTCACCTTTTCTCTGACTCAGAAGAAAACTGTCATTTGCAGGTTCATTTGTTCTCAAGTTCTATCAATTGGAAAGTTCTTACAGAGTTTTGTAGTGCTGGAAGGTTGATCCCATCTGGGCTCTGCATCAGGGAATTGCTCATCATGCCCCTCGTTGTCAGCCACATGCTCTCCTCGAGCACGGTGTGGGCAGCACCGGCCGCTGTGGTGCTGGCTCCATTCAGCACCTCTCTTTATGCCGAAAAGGAGAAACTGCTGCCCCTGCCCTTCTGCCCGCAGCACAGCTGGCTAAAAGTGCCCAAGCAAGCCCAGTTTACTGCAGACCATGCCGAGATAGCCCCAGCTGCATGGGTGCTCCTGGCGCTGGCCCCGGCTGCATGGCACTGGCCGCACGGCCACTTGTGGCGCCGGGATGGCCCCAGTGGCTACCTAATCACTCCTCAGAAGAGAAGAGTGTGCACAGATTTTTCTTTTCTTTTCTTAAATATGTTATCACACCCCCATTGATAACTTCTCTGTTTGGGCCAGCCAATATGTCCATCGTCAGAGCCTTCAGGGATTGGATCTGCTGGACACAGTAGAAGTTTTGTGGAGCCTCTCACTCAGAAGCAGCCTCTGTGGCTTCCCTGGCCCCCACTAAAAGCCAGGCTGTATTAAACCAACAGAGTTGGTTGGTTGGATTTTTTAAAAGCTCCCAACAGAGAAAAACTACTTGTTGGATTTGGTGTGGGGCACTTAAATACAGATTATGCACATTCAACCTTTAAGAGCCCTTCCAAGGCATCACCCCCATCATGCCTTTGGTGCTTCACCAGAGCCAAATGCAGAGGTGACAAACTTCTCAAACAGAGCTGTTTGAGACAGCAGAGCTGCAGCTTTAGCAAACACAAAGGCTCATTCACCTTCCATCTTCCAGCTACAGCCCTCCCTTGCTACTTCAGGACTGTAGCTAAGTTCCTACACAAGAGAATCAAGCAGTTCATGGTATCAAAATAAAGCAACTTTCTTGCAAATTGTGTCCACATCATCTGTTGGGTGAAAAGAGACTAAACAAGTAGGGAAGATACAATATCACTGTACACAGACCCTCTCCAATGAAGCCCACTGCCTTGCAGGGCAAGGTGGACTAGTACAAACAGATGAAACAATATGTGTCTACATTCAGAGCCACAAAGTAGCCCTTGCTTTGAAGTGCTTTGAAGCATATGCATTTAAAGATCTCTGGCATTGATGAATACAGAGGATGCTTAACACTGCATGTCAAAGCCACAATTAAAAAAAGGCAGAAAGACTGGACACTGTCAAGATTTAGAAAATCTACCTCATCCTTAAGGGGTTGACCAGATTAACCATAACCATTTAAGAATTTATTCAGAAAAACTGATAACAATGCTTGACAGCATTGAATAGTCAGTTTAGCCATCATGAGGAATTGCTCTGCATGTTTGTATAGGTATTAACTGGAAAGACAAATTTTCTCCCTCACCTTAGACTAATTGGCAAAGAAAATCTGAACACTGAACATCAGTCTGACAGAAAGCCAAGCTTCAAGAATTTGGTGTAGGTATGGCAAGTCAGCCCTTCAGACTTTTACCAGCAGTGGTTTCTTCATCCCTATTAATATAAAGTATGTTTAAAGACATTTGAAAGAAAAATTACCCTTTAATGACTATATAAAACCCACTTAAGTAATTTAAAGTTTTTGCACATGCTTTTTTAGTACTCAGGACAGTGGAAGACTGAAGATCCTGCAAAGATACCCTGTAACAGGATAAAACCGAAAAACCAATAGATCTATGTAACCTGAGAAGAACAATCATGTATGATGAGCAGAACTGTCTACAAGTTTTATAAAACCAGGGGCTAGAAGCCATGCAGGAACTGCATCAAACTACAGCCAGTTGAGAGCACAGAGAACTCTTTTATCATCTAGATGTTTCCAATGCAATAGCTGACTAACTAGAGAATAAGGAAAACTTACAATTGCCTGGTGGGTCAAACTCAACAACCTTCACACACGCAACAAACAGCCTTCACATGCGATGGAGAACCATAAAAATCAGGGCCAAAATACTCACTATATACCTGGAAAAGTGTTTCCAAAGGTAATCCAAATACGAGGTAAGCTATACCCAGGATTACTCAACAACCCAAGATCACTGCTATTCAAGAAGGTCAGAAAAAACATTCTCTTCCATGACCATTTGGAAGAGAGATTTCCTCACCGACACAAAGGTGTTGCCTGCCCTGCTCATTCCAAAACAGACTTTAAGGTCAGTGAAACATGAAAAAAAGACATATTTCTTATTTGTGTCATTTGTCACTCAAAGCTGACACATCAGCAAATGTAAACTGCTGAAAAGAAAGCTTCAAAAGATTTAATATTCTGACTAAAAGTCTAAACAGCCATCCCCACCTCAAATATGTCTCATCTTATCTCAGGAAATAAAAAATCAAACACTGTATTCCTAGAAATGTTAAGGAAATGTTAGAAATGTTAAAGAAAACATTTGAAAAAGTACTCGGGATCATTTCCAAGTATTTTCCATGCCACTGAAGAGGATGCTAACCATTTTCTTTTAATATTCTAAGTTACCAAATACAGCTTTTCCAGTTAAAAAAGAAGAGACATAGATTATCACGTATAATCAACCAAATAACAGCAAATTTTTTGTCACTGTAATTTCATTTAAGAAGCCTATTACTTATTTATGCTAAGAGCAAATGAAATCATGACAAAATGATTTTCCCATGTGTAAGAAACTGAATACCTACACAGTAAAACCTTAAGTCGGATTATACTTAAAACTATGACCCACTGAAAAGAAAATCAAAAGCCCCCACACATTAGTGATCTACAAACTTAACAGTGGACACTTAGTTAGCTAGATTCCCCTTTAAGGTTACCGAAGCTATACAATTACAAACTTAAAATAGAGGTTCAAGAATCAGGGACATTCCAATCCATCATAAAATAATTACTTAGATGGGCACAGCCTTAACTGTCTCTTGACATTTTAAATAAATAATTCTTTGCCAACAGCACCTAGTTACTGATACTAAACATACGGTAACTATCTGGCCTTTCTCTCTGTTATCTCATTCTTCCTAAGAATTTAAAATTAATTAGTAGTCTAAGAGGAAAACATAGTGAGAGGGAGGGGACCAATTTTAGTCCTAACAATACAGCTTTGTTTTAAAGTTATAAACGTGGAGATAGACTGTCAAAGATGAGTTACACTTTGGGTGCAAGCTAATAATATTCTTTAATACTCACCAAAGGGAAAAAAAAAAAAAAAGGAAGAAACTAGGACACCATGTACTATAAAACACGAAAACTGAAAATTATCTCACTGGCTCGGTAAATTACTTCCAGGCTCCAGCGCTCCCCTGCACAACTTTGCTGATATCTAAGTCGCAGTCCCACATCAGCACAAAAGCAGAGCTAGGTTCTGAGCTGAGCCTCTCCGTGCAACTTCCTCCACAGCTCTAAGGTCCCAGAAACCGCTCCTCCAGCAAAAGCCGCCGGTGTTTACAGCTCCAGGCGCCCGGTCGTGCGCCCGCCCCACAGGGAGCAGAGGGACGGCGGTGCTCCGCGGGCCGTATCTTTGTTCAGCCCCGCTCATGGGTCAACGGGCAGAGCTGCTGTTGCTCCCGGTGCGGCTTCACAAAAGCTTTCGGCACGGAGGGGGCCGGCGGATCGCCCCGGCCGCGCCGCTTTGTTTCCCCTCTCGCCCCAGGGGGGCCGGCGGATGTGGGCGCCAGACCCGCGTCTCGCCACGGCGACCGAGCGTCAGCACCGGGCCGGGCCGGGCTCCCGGTCGGCGCCACGACTCGGGCGACGAGGAGAGGTGGGGAGGGGAGTGAAGGGGGAAAACGCGGCCGGAGCCGGCAGCAAACTCCGCCCCAGCCCGGCGGAGCGGCGGGAGCGCCCCAGCCCGGCGGGCTCCGCGCGGGGGCGAAGGCCCCGGCCGAAGCGGGACTGCAATGCCTCCCGCCTGCCCTCCCCTCCTGCCCAGCCACCGCTCGGCCCCGGCCCGAGGCCCCGAGAACTTCCCCTCGCCGCGCAGAAATTCCCGAGGGAGGCGGCCGGAGACAGCCGCCGCGCTCACCTGGCGCCGCTACGTTCCCTGGCGCGGTCTCTGCCAGGCAGGGAGCGGCGGGTCCGGGTCCGGGTGCCCGCGCCCGCTCCGCCGCCTCAGGGCCGCCGGGGCTCGTGGGGCCCCGCGCGCTCAGCGCCCGCCGCGCCGCCACATGTCCGCGCGTGGCCGGGGGAGCGCGGCGGCAGCGCCGGCGGGGCCCGGGCGGGGGCGCTGCTCCGCTCGAGCAGAGGCGGTGCCGCGACGGCAGAGAGACACGCCTCCAGACCGCCCCGCGCCGCCCCCGGAGCATTATGGGATAGGTCCTCCAGCACCGTCTGGCGGGGCGGGCGGGAGCGGGAGAGCACGTGACACGGCGGCCCCGCCCCGGGTGGGCGCCAATGAGGCGGGGCGGGGCCGCGCGCCGCAGGCGGGGACGCCCTCTGGTGGCGGCACGGCAGCCGGGCGCGGCCGAGGGATGCGTGCGCGGCTGGTGACGTCATCCCGCCGCGACGCGGGGCATGCCTAGCGCCAATCCTTTTTTTTGTTATTTATTTATTTATTTATTTATTTTGTTAATAATAGTATTAATAGCATTTTAATACAATTAGGCAACAGGCACACTGGACGAAGCCCTGTGACCACGAGAGCGTGGCACGGGGCAGCGTGTGTCCGGCCCTGCAGGGAGAGGAAGCCGTGCCTGCGGGGCCCCAAGGCGTCGCGGGGTCAGCCGTGGGTCGTGCTGGCTGCGGCCTGTGGCTGCACGGACACAGTGACGTCTAATCCTCGTACATTTCCATACCCAGCTATTTCAAAAGCAGTTCGCCGTGGTGTCGTACGACCTGATTATGGCAGACAGGGAAGAAGTTCAGCGCAGCAGCGGCTTCTGTGCGCTGGCCCCGTTACATCTGCATCACAGCACCGCCGGGCTGCATCTGCTGGAGGCTCCCCCACACGGGCTCAGAGGAGAGCTGGGAAGCGCCGTGAGAGCCAAGCCCTCAGCTGAACCCCCAGGGCAACACGCTTGCCATAGCAACAAACCACAGGAAGAGGAAACAGCTCCCCTAGATACGCAGGCTTGGTTGAATGTCTCTTTGCGTTCAGAATGAAGTCACAGCCTGAATCGAGTAAAATGTATGTCAGAGTCAGTCTGTCAAGAACTATAATAGCTTATTAGTTGCCATGATTACGAGAGAGTATTAATTTAGGATCAGCTCAGAAGAACTTGAATTAAGTAAGAGCAGGCTGTGGGACAGAATATAAGAAGAGCCACAGGAAGGAAGGAAAATACTGTATCTATTGGAAGGCTGCAGGGAAATGTAATAAGAAGTAAGACTACTCCCATAGTTTAGAAACATAGATTTAGGAATGGAGATGAAGTGTTTAAGGTAAGTCTGACTTTAAAGTGATTAAGGCTAACAAATTCCTCAAATTCTTCAATGGGATTATATAAATAAAAGAATAAGGTATTAGGAAAATTTGCATTAAAGAAAGCTTCTTCGTTATAAACACAAGTGCTGTGTTTTGACTACACTGAGATCTTGAATGACCCCAGAACTAGACTCTGAAGCAATTAGGAAGAGAGAACCATAGCAGCAAACCAGCCGTGTGTTTGCTTAGCCAATCACAGGGGTAAGGTTTTGTTGCAAGGAGGGCATACTGTACACAGCTACTGTATGTTACTCTTTGTTACTGTTAAATATTTAAATTAAAATGTTTACTAAGACACCTGGGGCTCACAGGTGCAGAGAGAGCTTGGAATTCACTGTTTCTGTCACAAGTCGAGGAGATGTTCCTGTCACCCACTCATGCTGCACAGATCATGTTGCACAGAAGAGCCAGACAAGCTGAAAAGAAATATCTGTGTGAGAGAGGAATGCAAAGAGAAACACTCATCACCTCTGATGTGCTGTCTGTACTTCCATTTGATCCTCTGACTGTCTGTCTCACATTCATCCCAGTGCTTGCCTTTATGGCTGCTCATATAACTTCAAGATATGTCGTAACAGTCAAGTGACTTTGGCCCTCTCTCGCTCACCTTTTGAGATGGATGTGTTATGTACACTGTTTATGATGGGGGGACAGATGGACATCTGTGACTTCCCTCCTGTCAGCTTTGGCAAATATGTCTTTTGTTTTCCTATGTATACATGAGTTTCCAGTCCAATCAAGGCTGAAGGACAGTCCTGTCCAGTTGGACATCTGCTCCCAGAACCAGTCTGTCAAGGATGAGCAGTTGGTCAGTTCTGCCAAAGGGGAGCATGAGATATAGCTCCTTCTGTGACCTCTGTGTCTGCGGAAAGGGGGAGTCAGGAGTTTAGGTTTTGTACAGGGGTATTGAAAAAGGGGGTAATGAATTCTGATTTTCTACTAATCTCAGCAAACCCTGTGATAAATTAGCTGGTCATTCATAAAACCCTTAGTATTTTTCTCAAAAATCAAGACAGCAGGATGATTTGACCTGAAGGGATAGCTGAAATATCATTAGGAATTGAGATGAAGATGGCAGGAAAACAAATATTACCTGGGGCAAAGTTGATAGGAATGGATACAGAAATTGTTAACATTTCTGGAATAGTGGATGAGATATCAGCACCAGACAGTTTTGCTGAAAGGATAATCTTATATTCAAAATCTAAAGATCTGAGAGCCAATTTGTGCTTTTAGACATTGGATAATTTTGTTTTCATGCTTTACAGTGGGAAAAACATAATGTTTTTAGTCTGTTTTAATGTGTTCTAAAGTCTTCAGCTTCTTCAATTGTTCTTCAAGTGACTGATGGCAGAGGTTGTCTTTAGTCGAGGTGGACGCCACACCAATAAATCCTTTGCAGGTGAAGGATAAGTATAGTAAAGGCAGTTACTGTTGCCTATTGTCTTTTCTAGGTAGATATGAGTAGGGCTGTTTCTTCACTTTCCGGCTAGATCCAGAATGTTCTGCGGAAAGATCATGAGTAAACCTCAAGCTGTAGGAGACACACAATTTTTAGCAGTACTTTCAAGGCACACAAGGCACAAGGCACACTTGTGTGTGCCCTGTTCTGTTTGGGAGATTTACTCTGCCCACATTTTCAGAGCTTCCCAGTATCCGTGAGAGCTGGAAAGTTCCCTGAAGTGGAGCCTCTCACTGGCTCGCATTTCATTCAGGACGGCAGCATGGTGTGGAAGCACAAGCAAAGCCATATTCATGGCACAGCTCTGAGTATGATCAGAAGCCAGATGTGCCAGAGAAGAACTGGAACAAATGCAGGAAGAACAGTGTGAGTGAGGGCATGGTCATTTGGAGAGGGGAGCAACAGGGAGTGTGATACTAGAAATAAGAATGTGTTAGGGTGAGGGAGAGAGGGAGATGATGGCGGAACTGACTGAGAGATTTTGATAATGATATGGTAGAGCAAAGGAGGGGAGATGATGCTTGATGAAAGTAGGGATGAGTCAAGCATGGGACTCCTGGAGGACAAAATGGTAGTTATTAATGAGAGCAGAAACTAGAATTGTCACAGAGCACAGAGGGGAAGATGGAGACAACTGCTTCTTTGTGCAGTGAATTTAAATTCTTACCTTGGAAGTATTCTGTGCCATCCTACACCATTTGCCATTAACACAACATTGCAATGATGGCACAGGTAAGTGAATTTTTTTTTTTTTTTTTTTTTTTTCCCCAGTGTAATGAGCCTGAAATAGTATTTCTGGGGTCTTGAAGCTGCCAGTACTACGTTCTGTCTCTGGAAGAGAGGAGGTGAAAAAACTTTAGCATAGTGGATTGTTCTTCCTGCTGTGACACTGTTGGGACTCATCAGTTAAGCCACTGAAATACACTATACACAGGGAACAGAAAAACTAGTGATGATACAATACTTTTGCTGTCTGATTTGGGGATTTAAGTAATAAATTATTCATCTGTTGGGCTCTTGGATTTTGAGCTTTTAAAGAATGTAGATATATGCAAATGGCATTAAAAAGGTGGATTTTGAGAGTTTATTCAGAGCTCATTTACCCTTTCTGCCCCATGCAGGGTCAGTTATGTATATGATGCTCCTTCACTCAGTCTATTCTTCAAGATCTCTGCTGGTGGACTCTCCCCCCAAAGTCTCCCTCCTCAAGCAGGCCATTTCTTTAGTTTAAAATTTATACTGTTGAAAAGCTGTTCTGATTCATATCTGTGATCCTTCCTACTGCATCAGAAGCCCATTCATTTATCCCTGTTCACCATGAATGCTGGTATCAGATTGTCCCCTTTCTCTTTGAAACAGATTTTTATTTGCTTTTACCATTTTTAATTCCTTTTCAATCTTTCTTTGAGGTTAAGCAACATTGAAAGGTCTACTAAAATCAAATATGTGGTAAGTACTTTGTGTGCCCTATCCAAGGGGCTTGATACTTTCCTACAAAAGGAAATGAGAGTGCTTTGGCAGCAGTTGTTCTTGAAAAATTAGTGTTGGACATTGTCTTCTTCTTAACTTTGAAGTAATTAAAAGTTGTTAACTTGATAATTTTTTCAGAGAGTTTTTTTGGGGCTCTGTCTCTCCCTCTTTCCAGGAATAAACTTTTATTGTTTTAATGTGAAATTCAACTTTGTCTTGTGTTTATATATTATGCTAAAAAACA